AGGAGGAGAAATGAAGGGAGGGGAAGAAGGGAGAAAAAAAATGAAGACGATAAAGCAAAAGAAAGAAGAAGGAGAGAAAAAAGAATGGAGAATTGAAGACGGAAAGAAGAAGAAGAAGAAGAAGAAGAAGAAGAAGAAGAAGAAGAAGAAGAGAATAGAATAAACTGAAAAGAAGGAGGAGGAAGAGGAGAGGAGAGGAGAGAGGGGGGAGGAGTAAAGAATATAGGATAAAGCAGGGAGGAGAAGAAGAAGGAGAGAAAAAAGAATAGAGAAGAAGAAGAAGAAGAAGAAGAAGAAGAAGAAGAAGAAGAAGAAGATATAATAGAATAAAGGGAAAAGAAGGAGGAGGAAGAGAGAAAAGAGGAGAGGAGGGAAGAAGAAAAAAAAATGAGGGATAAAGGAGGAGGACAAAGAAAAAGAAGGAGAGAAAAAGAATAGAGAAAATGAAGAAGAAGAAGAAGAAGAAGAAGAAGAAGAAGAAGAAGAAGAAGAAGATAATAGAATAAACCGAAAAGAAGAGGAGGAAGAGGAGAGGAGAGAAGAAGGGGAGGAGTAAATGAATATAGGATAAAGCAGGAGGAGGTAGAAGAAGGAGAGAAAAAAAGAATAGAGATTTAAGGGAAGAAGAAGAAGAAGTAAGAAGAAGAAGAAAAGATAAACGAAAACTGAAAAGAAGGATTGGAAGAGGATAGGGAGAGGAATAAAGGAAAGGATTAAATTGACGATCAAAGCAAAAAATAGAAGAAGGAGAAAAAAAGAATGGAGGTTTATGGAAAGAAGAAGAAGAAGAAGAAGAAGAAGAAGAAGAAGAAGAAGAAGAAGATATAGAATAAATTGAAAAGAAGGAGGAGGAAGAGGAGAGAGAGGAGAGGAGGGGGAGGGAGTAAATCAAATAAGGGATAAAAGCAGGAGGAGGTAGAAGAAGGAGAGAAAAAAAAAAAAAGAATTGAGATTTATGCTTGGAAGAAGAAGAAGAAGAAGAAGAAAAGAAGAAGAAGAAGAAGAAAACGAAATGAAGAAAACTGAAAAGAAGGAGGAGGAAGAGGAGAGGAGAGGAGAGGGGGGGAGGATTAAATAATAAAGGATAAAGCAGGAGGAGGTAGAAGAAGGAGAGAAAAAGAATTAGAGATTTAAGAGAAAAGAAGAAGAAGGACAAGAAGAAGAAGAAAAAGAAGAAGAAGATATAATAGAATAAACTGAAAAGAAGGAGGAGGAAGAGGAGAGAGAGGGAGAGGAGGGGGAGGAAAAAAATATAGGATAAAGCAGGAGGAGGTAGAAGAAGGAGAGAAAAAGAAGAGAGATTTAAGGGAAGAAGAGGAAGAAGAAGAAGAAGAAGAAGAAGAAGAAGATATAATAGAAAAAACTGAAAAAAAAGGAGGAGGAAGAGGAGAGGAGAGGAGAGAGGGGGGAAGGAGTAAGGAAAAAGGATAAAGCAAAGAAGTAAAGGAAAGGAGAGAAAAAGAAAAAGAAGCAAGAAAGAAGACGAAGAAGATGAAGAAGAAGAAGAGAGAAGAAAGAAGAAGAAAGGAGAAAAGAAAAGAAGGAGGAAAAGAAGAGGAAGAAGAAGGAGGGAGAAAAGATAGGAGAAAGAGAGAAGAAGAAGGAGAGAAAAAAAAAGAAGAGAAGAACGCAAAGAAAAGAAGGAAAGGAGAAGAAGAAGAAAAAGAAGAAAAAGAATAAGAAGGAAAGAAGGGAAGAGAGGAAAGAAGAAGAAGAGAAAAGAAGAAGAAGGAGAAGAAGAAGAAAGAAAGACGAAAGAGAAAAAAGAAAGAGGAGGAAAAGGAGAGAAAGAAGAAGAAGAGGAAGAAGAAGAAAGAAAAGAAGCGAGGGAGAATAAAGAGAAAAGAAGGAGAGAAAGAAGGGGAGAGAGAAAGGGAAGAGGGAGAAAGAAGAAGAAAGAAAAGAGGAGGAAGAAGAAGAAGAGAAAATGAAGAATAGAGAGAGAAGGGAAGAGAAAAGAAGGAGAAGAAGAGAAAGAAGAAGAGAGGAGAATAAAGAGAAGAAGGAGGAGGAAAAGAAGAAGAAAAGAAAGGAGAAAAGAATAGAAAGATAAAAGGAAGGAAGAGAAGAAAAGAGAAAAAAGAAGAAGAAGAAAAGAAGAAGAAAGAAGAAGAAAAGAAAAGAAGAAGAGGAAGAGGAGAGGAGAAAAGAGGAGGGGAAAAGAAAAATAGGAGAGGATAAAGCAGGGGGAGTAGTAAAGAAGAGAGAAGAAGGAGAGAAGAAAAAAGAAAAGATTTAAGGGAAGAAAAAGAAGAAGAGAAAAATGAAGACGAAGAAGAAGAAGATATAATAGAATGAAACGAAAAGAAGGAGGAGGAAAGAGAGGAGAGAGAGGAGGGGGAGGAGAAAAAATATAGGATAAAGCAGGAGGAGGTAGAAGAAGGAGAAAAAAAAGGAGAAGAAAATGAAGACGAGAGAAGAAGAAGAAGAAGAAGAAGAAGAAGAAGATATAATAGAATAAAAGAAAAGAAGGAGGAAGAGAAGAAGAAGAGGAGAGGAGGGGGGAGGAGTAAATAGAATAGGATAAAGCAGGAGGAGAGAAGAAGAAGAGAGAAAAAAGAATAGAGATTTAGGGAAGAAGAAGGAAGAAGAAGAAGAAGAAGAGAAGAAGAAGAAGAAGAAGAAGAAGAAGGAGAGTAAATAATATAAAAATAAAGGAGAGAAAAAAAGAAAAGGAGGAGGAAGAGAAGAGAAGAAGAAGAAGAAGGGAATAGAATAAAAGAAAGGGAGGAGGAGGAAGCAGAGAAAAGAAGGAGAGGAGGGGAAGGAGAGAAAAAGATAAAGAGAGAAGAAGAAGGAGAAAAAAAGAAGAAGAAGAAGAAGAAGAAGAAGAAGAAGAAGAAGAAGAAGAAGAAAAGAAAAGGAAGACGAAAAGAAGGGGGGAGGAGGATAAGGGGAGAGGATAAAGCAGGAGGAGGAGAAGGGAGGAAAAAGAATAGAGAGGAGAGAGAAGAAGGAGGAAGAAGAAGAAGAAGAAAAAGAAGAAGAGAAAATAGAAGAAAAGAAAAGAAGGAGGAGAAGAAGAAGAAGGAGAAGAAGAGAGTAATGAAGACGAGATAAAGCAGAAGGAGGAGGAAGAAGGAGGAGAGGAGGAGAAGGGAAGAAGAGAAAAGAAGGAGGAGAGAAAGCAGGAGAATAAAGAAAAAGGAAGGAAGAGGAGAGAGAGGAAAAAGAATAGAAAATTTAGGATAAAGCAGGAGGAGAAGAAGAAGAGAAAGAAGAAGAAGAAGAAGAAGAAGAAATGAAGAAGAAGAAGAAGAATAGAATAAAACTGAAAAGAAGGAGGAGGAAGAGGAGAGGAGGAGAGGAGGGGAGGAAGAAGAGAGAGGATAAAGCAGGAGGAAGAAGAAGAGAGAAAGAAAAAAGAATAGAGAAGAAGAAGAAGAAGAAGAAGAAGAAGAAGAAGAAGAAGAAGAAGAGAGCAATAGAATAAAACGAGGAAAGAGGAGGGGAGGAAGAAGAAAAGGAAGAGGAGAGGAGGGGGAGAAAGAAAATGAAATATAGGAAAGAAGGAGGAGGAAGAAGGAGAGAAAAAGAATAGAAAGAAAGGGAAGAAGAAGAAGAAGAAGAAGAAGAAGAAGAAGAAGAAGAAGAAGATATAATAGAATAAAACTGAAAAGAAGGAGGAGAAGAAGAGAGAGGAGAGGAGAGGAGGGGAGGAGTAACAATAGAAGAACAAAAAGGAGGAGGAGAAGAAGGAGAGAAAAAGAATAGAGATTTAAGGGAAGAAGAAGAAGAAGAAGAAGAAGAAGAAGAAGAAGAAGAAGAAGAAGAAGAAGAAAGAGAAAAGAATAACGAAAGGAAAAGGAGAGGAGAGAAGAGGGGAGGGGAGGGGAGAGGAGCAGGGGGAAAGTAAAGAAAAAGAATAGAGATAAAAGAAGGAAGAAGAAGAAGAAGGAGAGAAAAAGAAGAAAGAGAAATGAAGACGAGAAAGAAGAAGAAGAGGAAGAAGAAGAAAAGAAGAAGAGAGAAGAATAAAGGAGAGAGAAAAGAAGGAGGAATAGAGGAAGAGGAGAAGATGAAGAGGAGAGGAGAAGAAGGAGAAGAAAATAGGAATATAGAGAAGAAGCAGGAGGAGAGAAGAAGAAGGGGGAGGAGAAAAAAAGAATAGAGGGATTTAAGGAGGAGAGAAAAAAGAAGAGAGAAGGGGAAGAAGAAGAGAGAAGAAGAAGAAGAAGAAGAAGACGAGAAGAAGAAAAAAGAAAAAGAAGGAGGAGGAAGAGGAGAGAGAGAGGAGGGAGGGGGGAGGAGAGAATATAGGAAAACAGGAGGAGGTAGAAGAAGGAGAAAAAAAGAATAGAGATTTAAGGGAAGAAGAAGAAGAAGAAGAAGAAGAAGAAGAAGAAGAAGAAGATAATAGAATAAAATTGGAAAAAGAAGGAGGAGGAAGAGGAGAGAGAGGAGAGGAGGAGGATAAATAAATACAGGATAAAGCAGGAGGAGGTAGAAGAAGGAGAGAAAAAAGAATAGAGATTTAAGGGAAGAAGAAGAAGAAGAAGAAAAAAGAAGAAGAAGAAGAAGAAGAAGATATTAGAATAAACTGAAAAAGAAGGGAGGGGAGGAAGAGGGAGGAGAGGAGAGGAGGGGAAAAGAAAATAATATGAAATAAAGCAGGAGGGACGAAGAAGAAGAGAAAAAAGAAAGAGATTAAGGAAGAAGAAGAAGAAGAAGAAGAAAAAGAAGAAGAAAAAGAAGAAGAAGAAATAATAGAATAAAACTGAAAAGAAGGAGGAGGGGGAAGAGGAGAGGGAGAGAGGGGGGGAGGAGTAAATAAAATGAAAAGCGAGGGAGGAGGTAGAAGAGGAGAGAAAAAAGAATAGAGATTAAGAGGGAAGAAGAAGAAGAAGAAGAAGAAGAAGAAGAAGAAGAAGAAGACATAATAGAATAAAAAAGAAAAGAAGGAGGAGGAAGAGGAGATTGAGAGGAGAGGAGGGGGAGGAGATAAATAGCATAGGAAAAGCAGGAGGAGAAAGAAGAAGGAGATGAAAAAGAATAGAGATTTAAGGGAAGAAGAAGAAAAGAACAAAAGAAGAAACGGAAGAAGAAGAAGAAGAAGAAGAAGAAGAAGAAGATATAATAGAAGAAAACCGAAAAGAAGGAGGAGGAAAAGGAGAGGAAAGAGAGGAGGGGAGGAGTAAAAATACAGGATAAAGCAGGAAAAGGAGAAGAAGGAGAGAAAAAGAATAGAGATTTAAGGGAAGAAGAAGAAGAAGAAGAAGAAGAAGAAGAAGAAGAAGAAGAAGATATAATAGAATAAAAAGAAAAGAAGGAAGGGAGGAAGAGGAGAGGAAAAGAGAGGAGGGGAAAGGAGTAAATAATATAAGATAAAGCAAGGAGAGGTAGAAGAAGGAGAAAAAAAAGAATAGAGATTTAAGGGAAGAAGAAGAAGAAGAAGAAGAAGAAGAAGAAGAAGAAGAAGATATAATAGAATAAAAGAAAAGAAGGAGGAGGGAAGAAGGAGCAAGGAGAGGAGGGGGGGAGAAAAATAATATAGGATAAAGCAGGAGGAGGTAGAAGAAGGAGAGAAAAAAGAATAGAGATTTACGGGAAGAAGAAGAAGAAGAAGAAGAAGAAGAAGAAGAAGAAGAAGAAGAAGAAGATATAATAGAATAAAAAGAAAAGAAGGAGGAGGGAAGAGGAGAGGAGAGGAGAGGAGGGGGAGGAGTAAACAAAAGGATAAAGCAGGGAGGAGGAGAAGAAGGAAAAAAAAAGAATAGAGATTTAAGGAAGAAGAAGAAGAAGGAAAGGAAAAGATAAACTGAGAAGAAAAGGAGGAGGAGGATAAAGAGGAGGGAAGAGAAGGAGTAAATAATAGACGATAAAGCAAAAGGAAGAAGAAAGGATGGTAAAAAATGGAGGTTTATGGAAAGAAGAAGAAGAAGAAGAAGAAGAAGAAGAAGAAAAGAAGCAAGGAATAGGAATAAAAGAAAAAAGGAGGAGGGAAGAGGAGAGGAGAGGGAGAGGAGGGGAGGAGTAAATAATAAGGATAAAGCAGGAGGAGGTAGAAAAAGGAGAGAAAAAAAGAAAGGAGATTTAAGGGGAAGAAGAAGAAGAAGAAGAAGAAGAAGAAGAAGAAGAAGAAGAAGATATAATAGAATAAACCGAAAGAAGGAAAAGGAAGAGGAGAGGAGAGGGGAGAAAAGGGGAGGAGTAAATAATATAGGATAAAGCAGGAGGAGGTAGAAGAAGGAGAGAAAAAAAGAATAGAGATTTAAGGGAAGAAGAAGAAGAAGAAGAAGAAGAAGAAAAGAAGAAGAAGAAGAAGAAGACAATAAGAATAAACCGAAAAGAAAAGAAGGAGGAGGAGAGGAGAGGAGAGAGGGGAAGGAAAAAATATAGGATAAAGCAAGGAGGAGAAGAAGGAGAGAAAAAAGAATAGAATTTAGGAAAGAAGAAGCAAAGAAGAAGAAGAAGAAAGAAGAAGAAGAAAAGAAGAAGAAGAAGATATAATAGAATAAACTGAAAAGAAGGAGGAGGAAGAGGAGAGGAAGGGGAGGAGTAAAATAATATAGGATAAAGCAGGAGGAGGTAGAAGAAGGAGAAAAAAAGAATAGAGATTTAAAGGAAGAAGAAGAAGAAGAAGAAGAAAAGAAGAAGAAGAAGAAGAAGAAGATATAATAGAATAAACCGAAAGAAGGAGGAGGAAGAGGGAAAGGGAGAGGAGAGGAGGGGAGGAGTAAATAATATAGGAGAAAAGCAGGAGGAGGCAGAAGAAGGAGAGAAAAAGAACAGAGATTTAAAGAAGAAGAAGTGCAAGAAAAGAAGAAGAAGAAGAAGAAGATAATAGAATAAGACGAAAAGAAGGAGGAGGAAAGGAGAGAGAGGAGAGGAGGGGGGAGGTAAATAATAAGGATAAAGCAGGAGGAGGTAGAAGAAGGAGAGAAAAAAGAAAAGAGATTTAAGAAAGAAGAAGAAGAAGAAGAAGAAGAAGAAGAAGAAGAAGAAGAAGAAGAAGATATAAAAGAATAAATGGAAAAGAAGGAGGAGGAAAAGGAGAGAAGAGAGGAGGGGAGGAGTAAAGAAAAGGATAAAGGAAAGGAGGTAGAAGAAGAAGAGAAAAAAGAATAGAGATTAAAGGGAAGAAGAAGAAGAAGAAGAAGAAGAAGAAGAAGAAGAAGAAGATATAAAGAACAAGAAGAAAAGAAGGAGGAGGAAGAGGAGAGGAGAGGAGAGGAGGGGGAGGAGTAAAGAATATAGGAAGGAGCAGAAGAGGAGGTAGAAGAAGGAGAGAAAAAAAAAGAATAGGCGCGAAAGGAAGAAGAAGAAGAAGCAAGAAGAAGAAGAAGAAGAAGAAGAAGAAGAAACCGAAAAAGAATAAAGGAAAGGAAGGAGGAGAAAGGAGAGGAGAGGAGGGGGAGGAGAAAATAATAAAGGATAAAGCAGGAGGAGGTAGAAGAAGGAGAGAAAAGAATAGAGATTTAAAGGAGAAGAAAAGAAAGAAGAAAGGAAAGAAGAAGAAAGAAGAAGAAGAAGAAGAAGAAGAAGAAGAAATATAATAGAATAAACCGAAAAAGAAGGAGGGAGAAAGAAGAGAGGAGAGGAGAGGAGGGGGAGAAATAAATAAAAGGATAAAGCAGGAGGAGGTAGAAGAAGGAGAGAAAAAGAATAGAGATTTAAGGGAAGAAGAAGAAGAAAAAGAAGAAGAAGAAGAAGAAGATAAAGAAGAATAAGAATAAAAAAGAAGGAGGAGGGAAGAGGAGAGGAGAGAGAGGAGGGGAGGAGTAAATAACATAGGATAAAGCAGGAGGAGACGCAAGAAAGAAAAAAAAAAGAATAGAGATTTAAGGGAAAAGAAGAAGAAGAAGAAGAAGAAGAAGAAGAAGATAGGAAGAGGAAACTGAAAAGAAGGAGGAGGGAAGAGGAGAGGAGAGGAGAGGAGGGGGGAGGAGCAAAGGAAAGGATAAAGCAGGAGGAGGCAGAAGAAGGAGAGAAAAAAAGAATAGAGAGGAAAGGAGAAGAAGAAGAAGAAGAAGAAGAAAGAAGAAAAGAAGAAGATAAAGAAAGAATAAACTGAAAGAAGGAGGAGGAAGAAAAGGAGAGGAGAGGAGGGGGAAAGAAAATAATACACGGATAAAGGAGGAGGCAAAGAAAGAGAAAAAAAGAAAGGAGATTTAAGGGAAGAAGAAGAAGAAGAAGAAGAAGAAGAAGAAGAAGAAGAAGAAGAAGAAGATATAATAGAATAAAAAGAAAAAGAAGGAGGAGGGAAGAGGAGAGAGGAGAGGGAGGGGGAGGAGCAAATAATAAGGATAAAGCAAGGAGGAGGAAGAAGAAGGAGAAAAAAAAGAATAGAGATTTAAGGGGAAGAAGAAGAAGAAGAAGAAGAAGAAGAAGAAGAAGAAGAAGAAGAAGAAGAAGATATAATAGAATAAAAGGAAAAAGAAGGAGGAGGAAGAGGGAAAGAGGAGAGGACGGGGGGAGGAGTAAATAATATAGGATAAAGTAGGAGGAAAGAGAAGAAGGAGAAAAAAAGACGCAGAGATTTAAGCGGGGGAAGAAGAAGAAGAAGAAGAAGAAGAAGAAGAAGAAGAAAAAGAAGAAGAAGAAGATATAAAGAATAAACCGAAAAGAAGGAGGAAGAAGAGGAGAGGAGAGGAGAGGAGGGGAAGGAAGAAAATAATATAGGATAAAGCAGGAGGAGGAGAAGAAGAAAAGAAAAAAAGAATAGAGATTTAAGGGAAGGAGAAGAAGAAGAAGAAGAAGAAGAAGAAGAAGAAAAGAAGATATAAAGAAGCCGAAAGAAAGGAGGTGGAAGAGCAGAGAAGAGAAAAGGAGGGGGGAGGAGTAAATAATATAGGATAAAGCAGTAGGAAAGAAGAAGGAGAGAAAAAAGAATAGAGATTTAAGAAAAGAAGAAGAAGAAGACTTAAAACACAGACAATAAAAGAGACAAGAAGAAAAAGGAGGAGGAGAATAAAGAGGAGGGGGAGAGAAGGAGTAAAGGAGGACGATAAAGCAAAAGGAAGAAGAAGGATGGTAAAGAATGGAGGTTTAAGTGGAAAGAAGAAGAAGAAGAAGAAGAAGAAGAAGAAGAAGAAGAAGAAGATATAATAGAATAAACCGAAAAGAAGGAGGAGGAAGAGGAGAGGAGAGGAGAGGAGGGGGAGGAGTAAATAATATAGGATAAAGCAGGAGGAGGTAGAAGAAGGAGAGAAAAAAAGAATAGAGATTTAAGCGGGAAGAAGAAGAAGAAGAAGAAGAAGAAGAAGAAGAAGAAGAAGAAGAAGATATAATAGAATAAACCGAAAAGAAGGAGGAGGAAGAGGAGAGAAGAGGAGAGGAGGGGGAGGAGTAAATAATATAGGATAAAGCAGTAGGAGGTAGAAGAAGGAGAGAAAAAAAGAATAGAGATTTAAGCGGGAAGAAGAAGAAGAAGCTTAAATAATAGACAATAAACCGACAAGAAGAAAAAGGAGGAGGAGGATAAAGAGGAGGGGGAGAGAAGGAGTAAATAATAGACGATAAAGCAAAAGGAAGAAGAAGGATGGTAAAGAATGGAGGTTTAAGTGAAGAAGAAGAAGAAGAAGAAGAAGAAGAAGAAGAAGAAGAAGAAGAAGAAGATATAATAGAATAAACCGAAAAGAAGGAGGAGGAAGAGGAGAGGAGAGGAGAGGAGGGGGAGGAGTAAATAATATAGGATAAAGCAGGAGGAGGTAGAAGAAGGAGAGAAAAAAAGAATAGAGATTTAAGCGGGAAGAAGAAGAAGAAGCTTAAATAATAAAAGATAAACCGAGAAGAAAAGGAGGAGGAGGATAAAGAGGAGGGGAAGAGAAGGAGTAAATAATAAACGATAAAGCAAAAGGAAGAAGAAGTATGGTAAAGAATGGAGGTTTAAGTGGAGGAAAGAAGAAGAAGAAGAAGAAGAAGAAGAAGAAGAAGAAGAAGAAGAAGAAGAAGAAGAAGAAGAAGTAAGGGGAGGGATGGAAGAGGAAGAAAAGAAGAAGTGTAAATAATAGAAGATAAACTTTGAAGAAAATGAAAGAGGCGGAGGGTAAAGAGTAGAAAGGGAGGAAGAGGGGAAGAGGACTAAATAATAGGGGATAAAGCAGGAAGAAGAAGAAGAAGAAGAAGAAAGTGGGCGTATTTGTAATGAATATGAATTGCTGATTCCGCTGATGTTATAGAAAGACATAAAAAGAGAGTATAAAAGAACTCAACAAAAAAGAGTAAAAAGAGAAAGGACAAATGGAAAAAAGATGAAAGAGAACGAAGAAGAAATAAAAATACATATGTGAAAGTACAGAAGAAGAAGAAGAAGAAGAAGAGAAATGAAAATAAAATCTCGTGAAAGAAAAGAGAAAAAAAATAATATACCAAGCAGAGAATAATGCTGATGCTGTTAATATGAATATGTTGGCATCAAAATCGTCTTTAATAATAAATGGTAATAGTAAGAATGAAGGAATTACGAAAGATAGAAACAAGAAGGAAAAGAGAAAGCAAGAAAACTTTAGAATCAATAACGACATGAGTAAGACGAGCAAAGAATAAGGCGCGAAAATAGAACGTATGAGAAGGAAGAAGAAGGAGAAATGGCGATTAAAACATACATTAATAATTCAAAAACAAAAGAAGGACGAATATAATATTAAACATATTTGTAGGGAAAAGAATAATTAAAAATTTATATTTACAAAAATCATGATTAAGTTGATATTGAAGTTAGTATTAATATGTCATTAATAATACACTGAAATTTAAGTAATAATAATAATAATAATAATAATAATAATAATAATAATAATAATAATAATAATAATTGCGCAATAACAACAACGAAGACTGCTACAAAATTAATTTCCCGAATGTAATCTTGAAGTAAAATCATTTTATTATTTTCTATATTTGTGTCTCTTTACTACTTAGGCTAGAATGAGATGAACATTGCTACAATATTTTATTATGCTTTATTAAGTTTTGTTAACTGTATGATGTTCGGCCATTTTGTGTTTGTTGGGGAGAGAAAGTGGCGGCCGCGTTAAAAGATTTTCGTTAATTTCTTTTGACGATTTCTCCATTTTGATTTTATTCAATTTTCTATAATTCCAAATTTATTAAAAAAGGACAATTCATAAGCTTCAAACTATCAGCATTAGACAAAAAGAAAGAAATATTGTTCTTCGCATAAAAGTAAAAAAAGTGAAACATGTATTTGTATTCATTAACAGAACGGTGTAGTTTGTGTCATTTCTCATTCTTTTAATTCTAGAACAACAATAATCATTTTATTATTATAAATAACAATGTGAAATCAAATATATGATTATGATTATGATTATTTTATAGAATACAAATAATAATATTATATAATACTAGTCATAATTATTGATTATTGATATCATAATTTATTGTTTTGGGTCATTTTACAGAAACACGCTGCCTTAATAAATGGAATATATCTGCCAGTATATTAAAACTGTAAAAATAGCAACACAAACTGATTTTAAATAAATTGGAGAATTCAGAATCAAGGCAAATAAATTATATTTTCTTTTAAAATTAACCAATAGAGTTTCGCGCATTGATTTACAAGTAGATTTCTACAATTCATTTTCTATCTGAGTACATCTTTTTGGCACATTGATATCTAGTGGATCATGTGCCATTTGTAAAAACTTTGTCAGCCTATAGTTTTCTTTCTAAATGTATATAAAGAAAACTATTTTCTTTCTCTTATTTAACATTTTCTACAGAGTACAACATTTTATTGTACCTAGTAAAACGTATTTTTTAAACAAAGAATAATGAAAAAAAAAAAAAACAAAAAAAAAAAAACTATAGAAACCAAAAGAGATGAAAAAAAGGTAAAATAAAATCAAAAGTCAACCAGTTTTCGTACTTACAACACCTGTTCTTCCCAAGCGGTCACCCATCTAGGTACTGACCAGGCTCAACGTTGCTTAACTTCGTTGATCGTTTCAACATGATCATGAGTCTAAAGAGAAAATAGTGCAAGACGTAGTATGTATTTTCTCAAGTTCTTTCAACTGAATGTATGCAACTAACAACTGTGGCATATTTTCGAGTAGAGCATTGTACACGGATGCTTATGTAACAGACTTTCCGAAGCGAACAAGAAGATCCTTGAGAACTAGCGTTATCAAGGATTATGTGCCATGCGTGGTATACGCTTAAGCGGTCATGTATCCGACGAGGCAGATTTTCCCCGCAGTAGGTTGCCATTTCTTCCTAGACCAGTTGCCATTCAAGGCTATAGAACCCGCTCTGTCTTGCTATTTAACCATATCTGGGGGAAGAAGAAGAAGATTCATACCTTTCCCAAGTGTATTAGTACGTAAGTGAATGTAATGGATTCGACTTGAAAGTCAGTCAGTCAGTTATGTGCCATGTGTGATACACGCTTAGGCGATCATATATTTTTCGATACATGACTGACGAGGCAGATTTTTCCCGCAGTACTTTGCAATTTCTTTGCGCGGTAGACCAGTTGCCATCCAAAACTATAGAACCCGGTCTGTCCTGCTATTTACCCATATCTGGGAGAAGAAGAAGAAGATATTGTGGTATTATGGTGGATGTAGTAAGAAAGGAAATTCTGTAAAATATGCATACAAGAAGAAGAAGAAGAATTATACCTTTTCCAAGGGTATTAGCACGTAAGTGAATGTAATTGATTCGACTGGAATTCGAACTCGGCTCTCCGATTCCAGTAGTGGTCAATAAGTCGTACTTACCGATTATTTACTTACTTTATTTTGATATCTCATTTATTAATGATTAAATGTCATAAGTGTGTTTAGTATCAAATTTGTTTAATATAATTCGAATAAAATCCTAAATAAATAATCTGTTTCTTGCAGGTCTGTGTTCATTTTAATTGGACCATGAATTTTTATTTATCTTGCATATCTCTGAGTCTCACATGGGAGTCTACTCCGAATATTGCTGCCATATATAATCCGGTGCTCCTGCTATATATTTAGAAATTCTTGAGAAAATAAGCAATGTTATTAGTCTTTACCTGGCATCTCGGATTCACTCACTTTTCCAGTGCCGTAAAGTTGCTTCTTTATGCCTTTTCTATGAATAATTTCATGGTAACTGTTCCGATGTGCTCTTCGCTATGTACTGTCAGTGATGTCATTTCTCTTGTAGATGCAGAGCGCCTTTCGTTTCTATTGTGATTTTCATATTCGTTGCTGTTTCTTAATGAGCATGTGTTTGAGTGAGTTTTGGGGATGAATTATTGATTTTCTTTTATTAAAAATCCCTCATTAATTTCTTCCAGTTAACTGATGTTTCTGCCATATTTAGAGATTGGCGGGTTTTACTAACATTATTTTCTTTAGTTTCTTGTAAATAGTTTTGTTTTCATATTCTAAATACTCATTGGGGCTAGTTATTAAATTGTTGTTTTATTCCCTTCCGTCCATAGACAATGAATTGCACATATCAAGACTAGTTAGGACTTTCATAGAGATATTGTGGTACTATGGTGGATGTAGTAAGAAAAGTAACTCTGTAAAATATTCATATATTGACCGATCGAAATCAATAATTGCAGTTAAGTGCAAATATGTAAGAGAGTACAAAGTATAGTTGGTTTCACTAGAGTTCGTAAAAGGCGAAGTAGGGTTTTTGTTCAAGTATTTTCAACGTAAAATGGCCATACGTCTCTGTGTGTGTGTGTGTTGCTGTTTGCGCATTTAGCACCAGATATTCCCAAGCGGATTGACCAATGAAGGTACTGACCAGACTCGACATTGATTAACATTGCTAGACGTACGGGAGCCAATATTTTAACGTGATCTGACCGTAAGTATGTGTGTGATTGTGCCGTATGTATGTTATATAGCATTCTTCGCGAATTCATCACCAGGTATTTGCGCATTTAGAACCAGATATTCACAAGCGGTCACTAATGTAGGTACTGACTAGACACGATGTTGCTTAACATTGCTGGACGTACGGGAGCCAATGTTTCAACGTGATGTGGACTTAAGTCAGTGTATGAGTGTGTCGTATGTACGTTAGATAGCTTTTACGCATTTAGCACAAGATATTTGAGTAGTTAGCACCAAATATTCCTATGCTGTCACCAATGTAGGTACTGACTAGTCTCGACGTTGCTTAACATCGGTATTTCCACGTGATATGGCCCTAAGCCTGTGGGTGTTTCATTTTTGTATCTGCACGTATGCTTCATAGCCTTCTTTGCGCAATTAGCACCAGATATCCAAAGAAAGTAACTCATTTAGGTAATGACCAGATTCGACGTTGCTTAACTTCGGTGAGTGTACAGTTGCCGGTGTTTTAATATTATGTAGCCATAAGTTTGTGTAGTGTGTCGTTTTTTGTGTGTCTGCGTCTACGTTTCCCCGCCTTCTTTGTCAGTGATCTTTGAGCACTTAACCTATTTATATAAATTATAACTAGATTTTATTTAGATAAAATTAACTTTTCAAGAATTATATAGAAATGTTCTTGTCTTTATGAAAGGAAACTCAGTTCGGTTTACAGACGAAAAAATTAAGGTCACGAATTAATAAAATACTGACTGTGTATTCGACAGAAGCACGAAATTAAAAGTCCAAAATCTAAGTCAACGCGTCGGTTCGTAGCAAAAAGTGAATAGAACTCTTCAGTATCAATATTTGTGTCACCCTGTTTTACAAAGACTTGATTCAATATCGCTATTTCCAGGAAATTAACATACTAACAGCAAAGATCACTGTGTGTCAGTACCTAGATTCTCGCTCATTGTTCCGAAGCGGAAACTGTTGTTTTTTTTCTAAGTATGACGTGAAAAAATATTCTACTAAATGTTTTCTATTTTTTTTATATGAATTGCTCTTAAAAACTATAGATAAATCTTGTGAAATAGTAAAATATCTTAAAATTTATGAAATATTCAAAATTTAACATCGTAGATGATACTCCGCTTTTGAGCCTATACATGTCTGTGTGAAGTTTGTTTGCTTAGAGGGATATCAACTCCTTATGGGTCATTTAATGCTAAATTTAGGGTGAGGGTATTAGTAATTTTCTCATACAAAAGTACATTTTTGCTAATTCTTTTTTTACAAAAATGTTTTGTTGCTAGTTTGTTTTTTTCTGTTTCACAAAAATTCCTTCTGATAAGACGATAAATTTACTATAAAGATATAATTTTACACACTCATAATTTTTTTTATTTTTGTTTTGTTGGACCTGGGACTAAAAGCAATTAACAGGTTGCTCCACGCTGCTAAAACTTCCTGATCGGAGGCCTTGATACCGGATGTAGTTAATCGTCACACTCAGGACGCATATGTATCGCTGATAATTTTACTATAAATATATATTTTTATGCATTCATAGTGTTTTATTTTTTGTTTTAGTGGACCTGGGACCAAAAACAGTTAAGAGGTGGTTCTACGCTCTTCAAAACAGACCGATTAGACGCATTGCTGCCGGATGTAGTTTATCGTCATACCATGGAGGGTGTTTAGGAGGCACAGTGGAGTAATGGTAGCGGCTTGGATTGAGGAACCGGAGAGCCGAGTTCGAATTCCAGTCGAATCCATTACATTCACTTACGTGCTAATACCCCTGTGAAAGGTGTGAATCCTCTTCTTCTCCCTCCAGCTATGGGTAAAATAGCAGGACAGACTGGGTTAGCTACATCCATATAGCCGGATGTAGCTTATCGTCTAGGAGAAGGAAAACTCTGAATTCAAAACCTGTGGAGGGTCGTTTGGAGACCTTGTGACACGTAGTGCACTAGGTCTCTGCAATCGTCCCTTCAAAAAGTGTGGATGGTCCTGCACGAAACCTTCACCACTATAATCAAATCTCCTGTGTCTGTTGTCGGGCTGTCGGTTTCCTGGGAAATGATCTGAAGCCTATACATGCAGGTTTGGGGACCGCTTGTGAATTCCAAATTCCCATGAAACTCCAATATTGGAGCCGGCTCAACCCACCCCGGGTGAATGCCGTTACAAAGACAAAAGAAGACAGAGGGTGTTTGTGTGAACATACTAGATGTAATAATATGTGTGTTTTATGTTGTAGTTATATTCTGGAATGCAGTTTGATTTCTTTACGAAATTGTAGGATATTATATGGATTAATACCATGAAATACTTTTTTCATTTTGTTAGTAATTTTAGTATAAATAGGTATTGTTGGTGAATTTTTTTAATATAAACATCTATTGATGGGATTTTTATTATAAAAAATGTATTTTAATACATTCATATCCACGTCAGCACCCACTCGCATTCGATCAAGGGATCTACTTATTTCCTTTCTTTTTTCTGTTGGCAGTGGCAGAGATGGTGGTGAAGGTCCAACCTTACTCCTGGAAAATCGTGAGTAGGAATCACAGAGGAGTGTGGATGGTGGAGGCGGCTGGGCTATTCGGCCGTTCCGAAAAGCATATCGCAATTCCTCTTCATGATGACGGTTGGAGACGAAAGCCTTGCTCACTCCTAATAGTGTTTCGTTAAATATGTAACTAAGTTTTTCTTGGAGATTTAAAGAAGAAAACCATTGCACATCACGTTCTTCTTTTAGACGCCTTGTCTTTTTATGGCTCTCCATAACATCCTCTCTTTTGTATCTATAAAAAAAAAAATTCCACTTGGTATCCCTCCCTGTATCTTTTATGCCATCCATTTACAAAGTTCGTTAGGTAGATTCCTCCATGTTTATCACTGCTTTTCTTTTTTGTTTTACAATGATGTTCACCTTTTATAAGGGCCACTCGTGACAGAGGGTAACACAGTAAGAGGCACAGCATATGCGGATATGCGTGGAAGATAATGGTTAAGCCTAGACTTGAGCAGGTTAAGATTGTTTGTAGTGATTGGGAAGCACCCACTCGGGATTCTCTTCCATAAAGGAACAGTTTGTAGGAAGAAGATTCACGAGTAGAAATCACATCTCACCAAAGGGAAACGAAGGAAATGATT